CATGTTAATGCCCTCAATAGCATTTACTCTCAGTCCTCTCACTGCGACATCTAATCCCTTAGCAGCTCTATCCATCTCAACAAACTTATCTGCAGTTTTCTTGGTTACCAACATCAAACTACTATCATTAGTACTTCCTTCACTTAGACTATCTGCAGTCTTATTAAAGCCTTTCAAAGCTTTATCCCTCAGCTTGTTCATGTCATTTTGGTCTAAGCATTCAGTTACTTTGACTATCACAGGCTTTGTGGTGAAGTCTTCATTAATTTCCACCACATTAACTGAAAATTCAAAACCTTCAGTGGCCTCGACCATCTGGACCTCTTCAGGCTCTGCATAATGAGCCTCTACAGTTTGCAAGGGGTCAGAGTCAATCTTGATTTGAGCCTTTCCTTTTTTCCCAAACTTCAGCCTTCCTTCTTGATAACACCTTGCACCAAATCCCCAAAAAGAAAATATTGAGAAGTTTTATGACCCAAGAAATTGTGGTACTTACAAAAGCCTCTTTTCTTTCTTTGTTCTAAATGTGGCATTTTAGCACCGACAAACACTATCATTTGCCCATCCTTAACTAACAAATCAAATATTTCGTCACATTTAGTAACGTCGAAAGTATATGTTTTCTTAAAAAATTTGTCATTAGATTCGATAGGATTTTTTCCATTTGAAGGAGCTAATAGTTTACAAGCATAAGGTGGACCTTGCTTTAACTCAGCAACATCAACCTCATTTTTGTCAAAATGAGATGTTTCATCATATAGATTCTCCACATCTTCATTACATTCGACAAAGGCTATTTTTTTACCCTTGCTGAATCTAGCTTTCTCCTCTTTTAGCCTTTCTAGTTGTCGAACTCTATAAGCTAACTGAGCCATATCTCTGAGATATTGGGTATCCAACTTCTTCCTAATGGAATAATCAAGACCCCCAGCAGCCATTTCGACCAACTCATGTTCTGGGACTTGTGTAAAGCATCTAGCTATAAGAAGTCGAAACCTATTCAGGTAATCATCAATTGGCTCAGTGACTTTGTGTATACTAGCCAATTCTTTCAGGCTGATCTTGGTTTGTCCCATGTAGAACTGTTCGTGAAACAAACATTCTAATTGGGCCCAATTATGAATTGAATTAGGAGGCAAAATAGTAAACCATGTAAAAGCATTTTTGGTGAGGGAACTTGGGAAATATTTTATTCTAAGGCTTTCGTCACCTACAATCTCGCCTGCTTTAATCATATACCTAGCCATATGTTCGACGGTTGATTCAGTAGTATCTTCTGAAAACTTACTGAATTTTGGAACCTTCGTCCTAAGGGGTAATTCAGACTGAAGAATATAATCCACTATGGGCGAAGTATAATTTGGCCTTGTGAAGCCAAAGTTTACACCATTTCTAGTAATTATTCTTTCGACCATGGCTGCAAGATTATTTTCTTCTGCTGCATTTTGGTGTCGAGCTTGTCTAAGGAATTGGTCAGCATTTTGGTTCCTGTTCACCATGACTACTCTTGGTTCCTCCACCATATGGATTGACACCTAGTTCCTTTGTGGTCCGACTCTAAAAGGTTCGCCCATCTCTTGATCTTCCAAGTTCACCTCAGGTACATTTCGTGGTTGACATCGTGGAATATTCTCAATAATAGTTGCTCTTCGATCAAGTGTTGTCACTCCCATAAAATCAACCATACATGCTAATTGTGTTGCCAATTGTTAGTTAGTTTGAGTAGTATTCTGAATCAAGGGTTAAAACACTTCTCCCATTGTCTGAGACAATGTATGTACCATTTGCATATTACTTTCATCCATTTGATATCTCAAACAATTTATGGAGGTATTTGTAAGACTGGGTGCTTGAATAGAGTAACCAACACCTATCCTTTGGTTGTTTCGACCATCTGATCCAGATCCTTGCACTGGCGAAGATACTACATTTTCTGAGAATATGGGTGGAGCACTCTACAGATTTTGCATCATTGACGTAGGCATACCATAAGGTGAATTCCTTAGCAATGGCTGTGTGAAACCTGGAGGAGGAAAATGCCTATACATTGAACTTCCTCCTGGGGGTGTTGGCAGGTTAGGACTTTGTGGTCCTATATATTCCAACACAGGTTGAGTGTACGTTCTTACACATGTTGATCCTGGATTTGCAATCGTCTGCATTGGCTTAGACACAACTACGAGTGGTAACGTCTGTCCTCCCGTCGAAGAAACTGGAGATGGTGTACTTTGAGACCCCATGCTACTTGACTGAGTGTTTGAAATACTTCCTTGAGGATTAACTTGTTGACTAACATTGGTTGCCATTCTCTTAGTATATCTTCCCTTTGGTACTCCTTCGTTTGCTGTAGCTAACTTCCCACTTCTCAATAATATACAACAAAGTGTTTCTAAAAAAGATGGATATGATTAACATAAAATTTGGAATACTTAGCAGTGGGTCCCATCGGGTGTGCCAATTTGTTTACTGTGAAATTTGGTAAACAACCTCTGGTCTATCAACTTTGGGTGAAATTGAGTAACTTGCAGGATCGACCATACAAATCCTAGGACACGTGCTAAGTTTAAAATAAAATCTAAATTGAACTCCATGTTCGACTATGTTCTAAAGGAACTCCACGTTCGACTATCAAAACTTTGTAAAGTAAAAAACAACTTGAAAATTGATAAGGCTGTAAAATAAAGGGTGCAATTCTTAAAGCGTCGAAAGTAAAAGGCAGGATGTAAAAAACTTTGAAAATAAAGGCAATAATGTAAAGGCTTGAATTTGATAAAAGTGCAAGAAAGTAAGTGTGTAAGATGTCGAAAGTAAAAGCAATAATGTAAAAGGTTTGAACTTGATAAAAGTGCAAGAAAGTAAGTGTGAAGACAAATATTTAGAAAAATGCAGGAAAGTAACAGTCGAAATAAAGTGCAGAAGAAAATTAACTGAAAGTAAAGATTAAAAATAAAGTTTCAAGGAAGAACATGTAAATACGAAAGATAAAGTTCAGGAAAAGACATTTAAACATGAAAGATAAAGTTTAAAAGAGAACATGGCAGATAAAGTGCAGAATAAATAACAACATACAAATGATAAAGATACATAAATTGCATTGATGAAAATAAATGGTGTTACATCACGTACATTCTCTCGAACTCGTTTCTCTACATGCGGGTACTTTGAGTAATTTGGAGTAACTTGTACAAGAAAAATGAACACCCTTATTCTATGGAAATAACCCCTATTTATAATGCTAAAAAATAACTACTATGTGACTGTTGCTTCAAAACGTGTCTTTTGGCGTTTTTTCTCGACTTCAACCGTTTCCACGTTCGCCAACTGCTCTTTTGAAATTCAAATATTAGGAATTTTCCTCTAGCCTTAGTGGTAACTGCAGCGCACTTCTTTAAGCATTCTCATGGTCGAAGGACTTTCCAACACTTAGCAATTTTTCCAGAAGTTTTCACAACCTCTCTTCGACTCAGGCTTCACAAAAACTGAATCGAAGCCTTCTTATGCTTAAAAATAATTTTTTTTTAGATGACTCTGATTTTGCTGGCGTCGAAAATGAGAGCCAACACAAACCTACAACTATGTCAAGTTACTGAAACATAATGTGGTGTATATACATCAATAACAAGGTGTCAATTAAACCCTAGAACTCTAAAATCTTTAATGTATTATCTGTTTTACATGTAGGTTTTGAGCTCCTTATATAGCAAAAGTATTCTGAGATTTTCTCCTTAGATCGTACAATCTGTTGGATAAGATTTGTTCCATAAATATCTGTAAAAAAAAATAATTTTGTTTGTTTCAAGCTCAAATTATAATCACATTTAAAAATCTTATTTGATCTTCACAACTGTCCAACAAATCATACAATCATATTGCTAAATAAATACAATAAAATCTAACTGAATCTTTAACAAAAATGTGTTATAAAAGGCAACAATATGACCTGCTAAGCAAGACCCAAATTATCGTACCTACATGTTGTAGCATCACGTCTAGCATGTGTCCCTTCTGCACAAAAAAATCATCTTAAAGTAGTTAAACAAACTTGAACGATTCTCCATATTGTTGTTTTAAAAAAATGCATTCAATCAATAAAAAAGTAAACATATTTAAAACATAAGTGAACAATATGATGATTATTGATGCGTTAGATAAAGATGTGTTCGTTTCAACTTTACTTTTATAAAACGATTCTATAGTATTATATATTTTTGTTTAATTTTTTTACAACTTCTTTAAAAGTTATAAAAATTAGTTTAAATCGTTTATCTTAAAATGTTACTTTTAGTATTTGATCTTTTTACTATAATTTTTAAATATCAAAATAGAAAAATCACTTAAATTTAAAATTATTTTTAAAATTTATAAATTTTTGAAAAAAGTTATAATTTTTATTAAGTTTTAATCTTCAATAATATATTTTTATGTTGTAAAATATCAAAATTAATTTTTTAATTTATAAAAACAATTTTTGTAATATTTAAAAACTTTAATCCTAACGTTAATAGTAGTAGTAGTTTTTGTCTTAATTCTACAAGTGGCACTAGATCATTCGTCTGGTACATGAACCAGTCATCACTCATGACTGAGTCGGTCAGGGAATCCAACGGCTATAAACATCGTTTTCTGTGCATAACCCAAAATTAAAATAAACAAGCATGTATGTCCCAGTCCCTCATAAACCAACATCTGTTAAATTCAATGCACATGATTTATTTGTGTCACCTACATAATGCACTTTGTATAGTACCTACCAGTAGCAAGTAAAAGGAGTATTAAAGCTTCACAAAGTAGTAGAAAGAAAGGAAAAAAAAGCCATACCATAAAGCCATTTTGATTTTGCTTCTTTGTGCAAACAAATAGTTCTATGACCAAACCATTTCCTTAGCAACAAAGTAACAACATCTTTTTCTTCTCATTACAACTTAAAACATCCTTTTCATTCTCTCATTTCTCACTTCTTTCACCAAACCTCTCCCATTTTCCAGTAACGCTACTTCATCATGGCAAATCAAGCTTCATTATGCTTTATGTTCTTCTCTTTTCTCACTCTCTTTGCACTAAACAATGCTTTATCAACTAGATTCCTTCATAACAGCAAGATCTCAAAATCTCAGATTCAGTTTAGGAGAACTCTGCAAGACACTAATCCAGCATCAACTTCACCAACAATCATCACTGTTCCTTCAACCACTCCAGGTGCTACAAATCTTGTTCCTTCTACCACACCACCAACAAATCCAGCAAACTCACCAGTTCCTGTTACAAATCCTGTTACAGCTCCTGTAACTGTTCCTGTGAGTTCTTATCCACCACCTTCACCGTTATCAGGAACTGTTCCTGTTCCTGTTACAAATCCTCAGCTTCAGCCTCCTCCTTCAAACATTAATCCTCCTCCATCTTCATCTTCATCTTCATCTCCTCAAGGTGGTGGTGGTGGTAGCTGGTGTGTGGCTAAACCTGGAGTTTCACAAACTACTCTTCAAACTGCTTTGGATTATGCTTGTGGGACTAATGGTGCTGATTGTTCACAAATACAACAAGGTGGAATCTGTTATAACCCTAATTCACTTCAAAACCATGCTTCTTTTGCTTTCAATAGCTACTATGTAAAGAATCCTGCTCCAACTAGCTGTGACTTTGGAGGGGTTGCTACCATTGTTACCACCAATCCTAGTAAGATCTTCGTAGTTTAATCTCTCAATTTTTCATATTTTATACTCAAAGTTTTATGAACTGTTCTAATGAACTAACTCTCTTTTGATTTTTGAATAGGTACTGGTACTTGCATCTTTCCATCATCTTCAGGAGGAGCAGGAACATCCGGGTAAGTGAGAATTGTAAAGAGAAAGCTTTCATTACTAAAAGATTTCTTTGAAACCTTTAAGCCTATAAGATATAAACTCAATTCAATAGCATACCCTCTGCTATGATACTTCTGAAAAAGGTGTGTTGTGTGGGATAAATGTCTGAAACGTTTCAATGCCGTGTTTCTGGTATCCGTGCATCATAGATAACATATATAATATATTGGTTTATTATTTCTTAATTAGTTCTTACTATGTGTGCACTAAGCTTATAAAATCAATAGATATGGAACAAGGGAGCACTACTAGTACTAACCATGTTCTTATTCACATTTTTTGCAGCTCTGGTTCTAACTCACCTTCAATAGGTTTTGGTGGGCCTTCGACCTCTCCGGATTCATCTCACTCAACAGGTCTGAGGCCTTTCCTGAGTTTCATGATTCTGATGACATTATTGGCCAGCGGAAGACTCGCGAGTCCATAGATTAACTTCAATACTCTAGCTCCATTCTGGAGTTTGTATACAATTCTACATGCAGGTGTAGAAAAGTAGAAAGATAGTAGAGTAGAAAAGAGAGTTTGTGATGGTGATGATGATGATAATAGTTGAACAAGTTCCTTAATTTGTTTAACTTTAGCTTAAGAGAATGAACTTCTAACTGCAGAAATATCAAAGGGATCTCTTGGCTATAAACAGGTTCAGGAACTGTAGTAACTTAGGACTTAATGTAGACCAGTGTGTGTATTGTTTGTTGCGGAAATTCATTTGCATATATATTGTTATTCAAGAAATAAGTCATGTGGTACTAATTAGAAGACTTTCATATCATGAGAAAGATTTTGATCATTACAGAAGTTTCACTGTTCTTGTTATGAACTTGTCAAGATTTAGTACATTCAGAAACAGTTTATCTAAATGAGTAACTATGTGTTGTACTGTGTTTTTATTGTTTTGTGTTGTGGAAATTCACTTGCATCTGTTGATCTTTTTCTTTCATCCATGCAGCTTTATATGCTACACAACTTGATAGTTATCAATTTGCTGTCTGACAAAATATTATAGCATTCCTTAATTTCCAAATGCTCTAGCCATGCCGAGTTGAATCATGCTTGCAAAATATTTTCAAGAATTTGAACTTAACATTTTTACTAAACTAGTTGCGTCTAAGTTAGCTTTATTATATATAACCGCCTCAAGCTAGGATAAAAGAAGAGAGTTGTGTTAGACGATCAACGACCATGATAAATTTTTGTCGAATCTATATAACAATGATCAATTACAAGAAATTAAGTGGATGGGTAAATATGCGAAAGAATGAGACAACTCAAAAATTAAGTCTTGGTACACGCAAAGTTCGATCGAGAAATGAGAAATATTGTAGACAATGAAAGGAAGAAATATGTAGTGGATCAAAACACCTTTTGTAATGTTTAGTTCTCTAATGACTGATCATTTTTTTTAACAATGATTTAACCCATTGTTAACTAAGATTTAAGCCCTAATTAATTAGGCAACGACATCATTAGAAATATTGACTTAAGTTGACATTTTGCAAGGTCATTTGTGGACCTTGCATTTTGCAAGGGCAAAGCTATATAAGGCCATTCAAAGTCTTTTTTTTTTTTCTTTTTCAATTCTCCTTCTGAAAATCAGAAGTTGAGAGAATTAGAAAGGACCTAGAGGGAGAGAGGGAGGGAAATTGGGAGAGGATGAGGAGAAGATTTTTCAGAAGTTGAGAGAATTAGAAAGGACCTAGAGGGAGAGAGGGAGGGAAATTGGGAGAGGATGAGGAGAAGATTTTTTTAAGTAAAGCTGCCATCCATTGCATGTGTAATTCTTAAATTTTTTTTAAAGAAGACATCAAGGGAGCTTTGGATCACAATTCTTCATCATCATCACCACCGAATCCACACCTTCAAATTGTAAAATTAAAACCTATAAGTGAAGTGGATTCTAGTATAATTCAATTGGAGGAGTTAATGTCTTCTAGGTCAAAAGCACGAGAAAAAGAGTTATTTTATGATGAATGCATGTTTTTTGTGCTTGTGTCTATATTTTATTGATGTTAGATGTTGATATGAAACTCATGCAAATGTGTTATGTTTCTTGATTATTTGTTTTGCATTAATATATGTTAGTAACATGATCTTCCTTTGGTGAAAGTGTGAAAAATCACACTTAGAGAGAGTATTCAAAATTTTGGGTCGGACATAGGTCGTGCTCCTCTACACGGGTTACCAGTGTCCCTTTATGTTCTTTTTTGTAGGGAGAGTGTGCTAGGAGCAACACTGGTTGTGCATGTCAATACGGCCTAGCCGTGTCCCCCTTTGTTTTTTTTTTTTTGTATGGAGGAGCATACTGAGCCCAACACCATTCGTGTCTCCTGACACGGGTAGCCCGTGTCGACACTCTTGAATCCCTTATTTTGTCTATTCTCCAACTTTATTTTGTTGTTTGGACATGTATCGTTTCATACAATTCAATGTGAGCAAGTATCGTTTGAGAAAACTGACAGAAAATGCTTAGAAACTCACTCTGATACTTGTTCATTATACGAAAACATAATTGGTGATAAGAACATATATGTACTATGATTTGCATATGTAAGATCAAATGCAGTCGAAAGAACCGAATAGTCTTTATAAATTGTAAGTAATGCATATCATTACAACATAAATTGTGAGAAGTCGATCATTTGATTGACGATGATAATAAAGCTAGTCTATAGTCTAAGTCACTTAAGATAAAAATGTGAAATCCTAATGACGTGTATATGCTCATCTAAAGGATAATATCTGGTGTTGCTACGTGAAAAATACCCGAGCGCATAGCACGCTCAATGATACAACAAAGTCGCCGCCAAACTTTATTTATTCTTAAAAGAAAGAGAAAATATCGATAAAATCCAAGGGGAAGAGAAATGGGCAAGGAAGTCGGTTATGCGAGGGGAAGACATTAACATCTCTCACATCTGTTGTACTCAACGATAACCATTTTGATTGTTTTTTTTTGCGTGGATTAGTGTTATTATCTAAAGGTTACTTAAGAAAAGGGAAAATGTTTATAATTAGTGTGCTCGCGGAGAATTTGGGCCCTCGTGCCTACATATCCTCAAAGTGCAATGAGGAAATCAGAGATTCGTAGTTCGAAGAACTAAGGGTGTGTTGGTTGTTTTAAGGAAACAATTATAATCGTATCCTAGAAGTGTGTAGACGTTAGCTGACTTGATCCTAGGTCGGATGCTCCAAGCTTTTAGTATGGCTGTTAAGGAACGAATTATAAAAGTTCTTTTTTAAAAAAAAAGAATTTATTTTGCAAAAAAGTTTAAGTGTCAAAAGAAAAAGAAAGAATTTCTTGAGTTGAAAAAGAGTTGCGAACTGAGAAACTGTCTATCTAAGCATGGGACTAACAAGATAGACATGAAAGGAGTAGAAGGTTTGCCCAAACATGAGACTAACATGGCAACCGTGAGAGAGTTCATCTAAGCATGGGACTAACAAGACAATCATGAAAGAAATGATGCTATTTTTCTTATAAATAAGATGCTAGTTTCTCAATCTTTATATAAGAAAAAATAAGAAAATAAAATCCTAATTTCAAGAGAGATAGATTATTTTGTTATTCTTGTATACTTACAATCTTGTTTCTAAGAGAAAGAAAAGAATAGCAGTTTATAACCAATCCTTGTTGTTTTACCTTGTTTTCTTTGTTAACCCTAACCCTTGTGTGTTTCTCGATCATAAAGAATCTGTTTATATATTGTTTAAAGACATCTGATTCATAACAAATTGGTGCGGTGAGCATGGAGAAGATGCCTTTAACAAAATATGAGATTGAAAAGTTCACCAGAGTGAACGACTTCGGCTTGTGGCACTTGAAGATGAAAGTCCTACTGGTTCAGAAGGGTTTTTTTGAAAGCCTTGAAGGGAGAGGCAGCCATGGACGCTGGATTAACAGCAAAAGAAAAAATGGTCATGATTGAGAAATCCCAGAATGCAATATTGTTGAGCCTTGGTGATAAGGTTCTTCGACAGGTATCAAAAGAGACTACAACATCGGGATTATGGGTGAAACTTGAAAGTTTGTACATAACCAAATCTCTGGTGAATCAACTCTACCTGAAGCAAGCTTTGTATTCATTCAAGATGAGTGAAAACAAAGTGATGGCTGAGTAGTTGGATACGTTCAACAAGCTGATTCTTGATCTTGAAAATATTGATGTGAAGATCGATGATGAAGATCAAGCACTGTTGTTGTTGTGTGCTTTTCCCAAAATACATGCTCACTTCAAAGAAGCTCTCTTGTATGAAAGGGAGTCCCTGACCTTTGAAGAAGTTCAATCAACCTTGTATTCTAAGGACTTGACTGAATGAAAGGAGCGTAAACCTTCGACGAAAGGCGAAGGTTTGACCGTTAAGGGAAAATTCTTGCGAAAGGATGGTAAGTTCGACAAGAAGAAAGGTAAAAGTCAATAAAAATCTTATAGTGGCGAAACATCTGGTATTTGATGTTATCACTGTAAGAACGAGGGTCACATAAGAAAGGTGTGCCCTGAACGCCTAAAAGATCATGAAGTTAATGGCAACACAACCATTGTTCAAGATGACTTTGACTCATCTGATGTTCTTGTGGTTTCAAGTGGCGACTCGAGAAAAGAGTGGATTATGAATTCAGGTTGCACTTGGCACATGACTCCAAATAGAGAATTGTTCGATGAGCTATGTGATCATGATGGTGGATTTGTGCTGCTGGGAAACAACAAATCTTACAAATTTATGGGTATTGGATCTGTAAGATTCAAGCTCCATGATGAGTCAACAAGGTTATTGACTGAAGTCAAGTATGTACCTGACTTGAAGAGAAATTTGATTTCTCTTGATGAATTTGACAGAAAGGGATATGTTTTTCAAGGAGAGAAAATTATCCTAAGAGTCAAGAAGGGGTTGAAGGAAGTCTTGAGAGGCGTGAAGAAACAAGGCTTGTATAACCTTGAGGCTGAGGTTGTAAGTGGTTCGAAAAATGTTACATCTACAAAACCTGTGTCGAAGATAAAATTATGGCACATGAGATTGGAACATGTCAACGAAAGAGGCCTGGTCGAATTGGGGAAGCAGAACTTTCTAGGAGGTGACAAAGTCGAAAAGTTGGAGTTTTGTGAATCCTATGTATTTGGTAATGGATAATTGTTAAAAAGCTCGTTAGGTTAGTGTGCTATTTTTCTTATAAATAAGATTCTAGTTTCTCAATCTTGATATAAGAAATTTTCTCTTACTTGTTGCTACTCTGTAAAGTCCCAAACACATTTCTCCTACATTGTTTTATGAATTTTAAAAAATTAAATAATGTAAAATCATGAAATAAACTAAATATATAAGAAATTAAAATAATAGTTACTTTTATACCTGAAATAAACTAAACCAATCTTCCTTCTCTTTTTCGAGAAGTGCTCCATATGTCGGCCAAAACTTTTTATACTTTTCTCT